GGTAAGATCTCATGCTGTTAATTGAACAAGTGTTTTTGAGGGACAGTGTAGAAATTATCAATAAACATTCCTATCTACACTGTAAAAAATGAACCTACACTGTTAACATTATTCATGCAAGGTAAAGCTGCCGGAGGAGAGTTTAGCAAAACAAAGGTAAGAAAGTACAATTCGTCTATATTTGTCATTGTAATTATTAAATTTTATTAAGAGAACCTACATTCAATGAAAATTTTGATTTAAATACACACAAATAACATTCTACACAACAAAAGGCGCCCAAACGAATATTCAAAATTACACAAATAATATTTAATCATTACACACAAAAAAGTACTTACACAAAATACAAAATTAAAAATAAAATATTTAAATAAATATTATTATTATTATTATTATTATTATTATCATTATCATTATCTTTATCATTATCATTATCATTATCATTATTATTATTATAATATATTTTATTTTCTTGGGAATTGGGTTCTAGTGCGATAGTCGGTTAAAAAAAGGATAAAAGAAACAGCAGCTATTTCTTTCTTGACGTTTCGTTCCTGATCAGGAACTTTTTCAAAAGGCTTTTATTGTTAAAATTGTTATTGTTAATTAAATAAAACCTAAACAATCATTATCCTTAGAATACATTTTTAAAAAAACTGCGTCAGTCATCTTATATTAGACAAATTTTTTACAATTTTGGGTCACACCAGAACCCAATTCCCAAGAAAATAAATATATTTTAATATTAGACAAAAGGTTTAAGGAGATTTCCACGTTATATATAGGTATACAATGTGTCCCAAAATTATGGAAAGAGCACAATAACTTTCGAAAAATGCATTTTGAGGAAAAATGATTCAGACAAAAGATTTAGGATTTTTCCCTGTCTATTCGATGGTGACCCTAGATTTGACCTTGACCTTCAAGGTTATTTCAAGGTCAAGTTAATTTTTTCAACTGGGATGTCCTACTTTTGACCCCGGAAATGAAGAGCGGAAAATTTTACGTTAAGATATGTCCTTGACCATTTTTTAAGATGGCGGACGCGATTCCAAAAAATTACCGATTTACGTCAAATTTGGTATAGGGGGGTTTTTGGGGTCGCTGACTACGAATCTGAAATCTGTTTTTGAGCAATTTTAGTCCAAGATGGCGGATCCAAGATGGCGGACGCGATTCCAAAAAATTAACCGATTTACGCCAAATTTGGTATAGGGAGGTTTTTGGGGTCGCTGACTACTAATCGGATATCTCTTTTTGAGGAATTTTAGTCCAAGATGGCGGACGCAATTTCAAAAATCAACCGATTTTTGCCAAAATTGATATAGTGCAGTTTTTGAAGGTGAAGGTCACGGTCAAATCAAGGGTCAGATAGCCAGGGAAAAATCCTATAACGTTAGTTATGGTCATTTTTTTGCAACCCGTTGTTTTCAAGACAGCGCGCCAAATCATGCGTGACCTTGATTTGACCTTCAATGACAATCAGAGGTCGAATTCGGAAAATGGTCAAGGACATATCTGAACGTAAAATTTTCATTTCCGAGGTCAAAAGTAGGGCATCCCATTTGAAAAAATTAACTTGACCTTGAAATAACCTTGAAGGTCAGTGTCAAGTTCAAATATAGGGTCACCATTGAATAGCCAGGGAAAAATCCTAAATCTTTTGTCTCAATCATTTTTCTTCAAAATGCATTTTTCGAAAGTTATTGTGCTGTTTCCATACTTTTGGGACACCCTGTATAATCGAAATACCCTTTTACTACATTAAGGTGTAGGTAATAATTTCACTTAACTATACACAAATTTCCTCCTGTTTCTTGCCAATTCCTTTTTTATAGTTTTTTTTTCATGGCTTGATAGACCATTCATTATAGAAAAAAAAACACAAACCGGAGGTCGATATCTTTTTTCGTTTTTAAGTTATTGCTAAAATAGTGAGGTCGTGCTGGACCATCCTCCTTCATTTAGTTCTCTAAATAACATTGACGTAATCCAAGCCAAAATTAAATTGTAAAACTATACCAATCTTGCCCTTAAAAAGAATGCAGATGCTGAAGAGATAAGGCCAAAAGTTAAACGAGTAAGAATTTCCGATTATATGGAAGTAATTCAAAATTATTCAGATAATGAATTCCAAAATCATTTTCGATTAAAGAGAAATACTGCAAAAAAAATTATCGTTAAGGTTCGTATGGTAACAGTTGATTGTGATACCGGGTATTTTAAAAATTTCAGAAAGTCTCAAAAATGCAAATATTCTACCTACACAACTTCAAGGTCGAGAAAAAATATCTGCTGAAAAGGCTGTGTTATTGACACTATGTTACTTGGCCAATATAGAAATATTCAGAGAAATTGCCGACAGATTTGGTTGCACGGAAAGTTCTGCACACAGAACTCTAAACAGGGTAATTAATTTTATATTATCTTTGAAGTCTGGAATAATGAAGTGGCCCACAGCTCAGCAAGCAAACAATTTTTCTGAAAAATTTGAGGCAATGAAGGGAATAAAAATGTTATTGGGCTTATCGATGTCAGTCACATTGAAATACGGAAACCTAAATAGAACCAAGAAGCCTATTGCAATAGAAAAGGGTATCATAGCCTATTATTGCAGGGGATTGTTGATCATAAGAAACGGTTTATAGATGTTTTTTGTGGTGAGCCAGGATCAATGAATGATGCTCGACTATTTAGAAAATCCGGCATTTATAAAAAAATGTATGAAAACCCTAACTTCATGGGAAATTATTTTTTGTTAGGAGATTGCGCATACCCAAATTTGCATTGGGTTGTTACTCCATTCACAGAACATGGTGTTTTAAGTGAAGAACAAAGAGAATTTAATTATCGTCATTCCGCTACAAGAATTGTAGTGGAAAATGCATTTGGATTGTTAAAAAATAGATTTAGACGATTAAGAAAACTGGACAATATCAATATTAACTTTTGCAGTAGGCTTATTATGGCTACGTGCATTTTACATAATATTTGTATTGATGAATCCGATTTAATCGAAACAGAGGAAGATTTCAACCAACCCGAGTTAATAGAAAATGTACAAGTAGAAGGAACAAGACAACTGGAAGTATTCAGAAACATGTTTATTAATTAAATTAAGTGCAATGTACAACTGTTGAATGCCAAGTGAAATATGAATAAAAATAAACTTAATTCTCCGAGGTTAGGTTAATGTTTGTATGTAAAAAATATGTAGATATGACCAGTGGCTATGCTTAGTAAATTATACTGTGCATGTATTTTGACCATTGAATAAAATGTTTTACAAACTGAAAAATTTTATATATTTTTTGTAGTCAATAAATTATTTTATTTTGAATTAATATATTTTCTTTATTCCTTTAATTGGCGTTTGAATAGAAAAAAGTACTCAATTTTATATATTTACTTTATTTTTTATGATTATGTTTTTTTTAATTCTCTACCTCTAACAGGTCAAAATGGGAAATAACACAGTAATAGTCAATTTCTTTAGTAAATTTTATTAAAAAAAAAACATTAAACAAAAAAACGAAAAATTATTTCAAACACTAGCAAAAAAGAAACTGGTGGATTCTCCCCGATACTATTTTTTTGACAGATATTCTCTCAACAACTCCAGTTTTTGATTTTCAATTTCTAACTTTCTCTCTTCAATCGCTAATCTTTCATTATGCCTCTGATTTTTTTCATAATATTCTTTTAATTTCTTTTCAATGTACTGACTTTTCAGCGAAGAATACTTTCTTTTATTAATGGGCCTTTGCAAATTTCCATTTTGTGGCTGCCGAGGTCTCTCTATATCTGTTTCTTGCACGTCCGTTTCATTTCCAGTGCTGGACGTTTCATCTGCAGTGCTAGTACTTGGTTTATTTTGATAGTCAAACGTAGAATTTAGTGAATGAGTACATTCGTTTGTTGGCTTTTTGCCCAAAATTTCATCCAAATCTTCAAAAAATAGAAACCTAGATGGACTTTGACCTGTTCTTACTCTTGTGTCTTTGCACTTTGAATAACTTCTTGTGAGACTCTTCCACTTATTCTGTACTGCTATAGAATTAATAGTAAAACCTTCACTTATCATATCGTTAGCAATATTTTCAAAGACATGTTTTCTTTTCCTAGGATTACTTAAATCTTTGTAATGTATTGCCATGCTTTTTATTAAAGATTTCGTCTGGTTATATGACCATATACTTATATTTTTCCTAACTGATTCATCTCCTGCATCATCAGAGCGGGGGTATGAATTACTCTACAAGGTTTGTGTATCTTCCCCCTCAACAGCTTCTAAATTTTCTTCCATAATTTGAATTGGGGCAGAGGTACATTTTGCATGAAAAAGTAGTGTACTGAGAAATTGCTCATCTAAAAATTAAAGTGTTAATAACATTCTATGCAAACCATTATTGTACTAACCTGCCTGAGCTCTTACAAAAGTTTCTTTACTGACAATTATTTTGTACTTTACGTTTTCTTCTGGGTCATAAATATACAAATCTTCAGTATCAACATCAATACAACTCATTTTTAGGTTGAAAACAAGATTTAACTATTTGCTGTTTGGTATCGGGATCGGGTGTACAAAAAGTCAAAACAGAAAAAATAGTAACTAAACCTCACAAACTACAAACAGGGCTCTAAACACTAACAGAAAAGGTGGTGCATGAGGGGAAAAGGGAACGAGCCCTGGTGCAGCCCCAGTGCATGTGGTTATCACAAATGGAACAAGGGCTTCGTGCACCAGAGGAACCCAGAGCTCCTCTTGCTGCCAAAAGGAATACAGTAAATATTATCTTCTGTTCTTGCACGGAGATGTCCTCTTACAGAATGTCGTGGCGTCTGGATAAACACTGAAATACTTCTCTGGAGTAACGTATTCTACGAGGGTATCGCAAACAGTATTCTCTTGAAGCTATAACGGCATTTTTCAAACATTGAAAATAAACTGCCAACATATCATACGCTTCCACATTCGTAAAAGGCATTTTCCTTGTTCACAAGTACTTTTGCAACACAAATAAAACTAATTTTGCACGTAGCAAGAGCTGTCACATTTCGTTTACCATAATTTTTCAATTGCCTATTTTCATAGGGCATAGACTGCCTCGTTATGAAATCTTTATAACTACTCAGATATTTGGAATTAATAAAAAATGAAACATTGCAGTTATCAAAAAAATTTCAAAATAAAGCAATAATTCTTTTTAAGGCCAAGATTGATATAGTTTTACAATTTAATTTTGGCTTGGATTGTGTCAATGTTATTTAGGGAACTAAATAAAGGAGGATGTTCTAGTACAACCTCACTATTTTAGCAATAAGTTGAAAACGAAAAAAGATATCGACCTCTGGTTTGTGTATTTGTTTTCCATAATGAATGGTCTATTAAGCCATGAAAAAAAAAACTATATCGTTGCATTTAATTTTTTTAGTAAACGGAGACAATTACAAAACTTTTCTCATTAGCGTCGTCTACCGTTGCGCAGGAAAATAATCTTTCCATTGCTATATCATAAAAATAAATTTTATTCATAGTTCTTTAAAATGAGCCATCGTTTATTGAAATCTATTAAGGCATTTAGAAGTTATGACAATTTAAAAATTTCAAGATAGCGTTCTTCATACTGACGTTGCTATGGTAATAACAAAAAAAAGTTCAACCAATACTTGTGAAGGGTTTAACAGTGTATCTAAAAAATGTATTTGCAACTTAGGTTATATAAGCGAAATTTCGAAAAAACGACAATTTTCTGTAACACTATAGTAGTTGCGCCCCCTAGCGGTGAAGTTACAAACTTGAAAATATTTTAAATCAATTTTTTTTGGTCGTATTTGTTCATAGATTTTTTTACTCCATAATCGTAGCACGTCAAGTTTTCTTTATACAACCGCCCGACACCATTAATGTATATACAGCCGCTCGATACCGTTAATGGATCACCCTGTATATATTCTGTATTATTCTTAGTCTTTTCATTTACTCCTCTTTTATTTAAACTTTCCCATACTTTTTCCGGAGGTACATTATCGAAAGCCTTTTTTCTAAATCAATAAGTGTCAGAAATATCTTATTTTGTTTCATATTGGTTTTCTCTATTATTTGCTTGATAGTGAATATGTGATCTTGTGTACTTCTTCCTTTCCTGAATCCACTTTGTGATTCCTCTAATGTCTTCTCTATTATTGCTTTAATTTTTCTATCAATTATTTTTTAGGAAGATTTTTCATAGATGTGCTCAACAATGTTATTCCTCTATAGTTGCTACATTCTTTAATATCTCCCTATTTATGTATTGGTACTATTAATGAAACTTGCCAATTTTTTGGTGTCTGTTCATTTCTCCAGACTTTAATATATATTTTGACTAATATATAATACCCTTTTCTCATTTCTACAGTTATTCCCCTGGTGCTTTACCATTCTTTAAATCTTTAATTGTCCTTTTAGTTCTTCTAACGTTATTGCTTTCTTATTTTCTTCTAGGTCTCTTAATTCGCTTTGTTCATTTGTCTCCATATTTTCTGGTGCCTTTAGCAATTCCTCGAAGTACTCTCTCCATCTTGCCATTATTTATTTTTCATCTGTTAACGTGTCGCCGTTTTTAATTTTGGCATGTAATGTACCATATGTTTCTGTTGACCTTAATGATTTTAGCACTGTATAAACAGTGTTCGATTATTTTTACTATTTTCCTCCATTTTATTTCCGAATTCTTCCCAAGCCTTTTTCTTTTATTCTAATACCAAATCATTTTCTTGTTTTCTTTCCTGTTTATATAACTATTTGCTGTTCTTTTTGATAGGTAATTTTTCCATGCCTTTTTTTTCTTCTTTACATGCTCTTTAATTTTTTCTGTCCACCATACTGTTTGTTTCTTCCTGTTACCCTTTTTGCATGTTCCACACTCTTGTTTTGCCGTTTCGATAACTATATCTTTAAATTTATTCCATATCTCCTCAATATTACCATTCGGTATTTCAATATCTTTTTCTATTCTTTGCTCCATTGCCCTCTCAAACTTTTCAGCTATGTTCTTTTCTGCTAGCCTATAGGATTTTATTATTTCAAATTCCTTCTTTTTAACATTTTGTGTTTTCTCATTATTTTGATATTTTATTCTTTTCTTTATTTTTGTTACTAACAGATAATGATCACTATACAGGGTGTTTTTGAATGGAGTAGCATAAATGATACCAGTGAATCTACATTTCAAAAGAACACGATCTGCAAAAAATCGCCTTAGTAAAATGTTCACCCCTGAAGAGATATGGGCCATCAAAGTTTCCAAAAAAATTATGAAAATTGGCTGTAATTTGAAAACCGAACGAGGTGTAAATAACAAATTTTTTATAGGTTGTTTACTAATACAGATGCGAGTTTTCAACTATTTTTCGAAAATTTTAACCCCTCGAAAGGGGTAGAAATAACCACCCCTCAAGCCATTTTTTGCCATAACTTTTATATTTCGTAAAAACTCGATATCCAAAAATACGCATTAGATAAACTGGTTCTTTTAGAAACTTTTACCTCTCTAGCAATTTTCCTTTAAAACTTTTCGTTTATTAATAAAAAAATAAAATGTATTACCATTCACCTCACACCGTATATGATTGCAATCAATCAAAGAAAAACTAAGTGTGCTGCTGTCATGCCAGTTGTCACAATTAACTCTTCTGTAAGTTGTCACTGTTATCAGCTAAATACTTTTTGGGTGTAAATTAACAAGAATTATGCCAAATTTTACTAATGATGAATATGTGGACATGCTACAAGTGTTTTTTTCTACGATCGTACAAAATTTACTACTTATTGCACTACCTACTGTGCCAAGTTAAACCTTTTTTACAGTAGTACAAAAAAAAAATATTGATAACAAGTTTAATCTAAGCATACCCATAATAATTAATTTCCAGTTGTCAGTTAAAATTTTAATATTATGTAAAATACTGTTATATAAAATTTGAAATAAAAACAATTGTAGAAAAAATGTTGTGTGCAACATGTGCAAAAAGCATATTTGTTGCACTTAACATGATTGCAGCTCTCAACTTCGTTTCGAGCTGCAAACTTCATGCATCGTACAACAAATACACTCTTTACAGTAGTTGCACAAATAACTGTTTGAATATCGCAGAAACTTTTATTAAATAGAAGTACAATTAAAAAGAAACTAAGAAATAATTTATTATCAAAAAGAGAAAAAACAAAAAACTTAGTTAAAGGACATTTTCAAAATAATTGCCATTTCTTTCTAAACACAACCTAACACGTTTATAAAAGTTATGGACTCGAACAAAAATTATGGGATTGTTGCGAATCTCATCAGCCGCCGCGAATATTCTTTCCTGTAGCTCTTCAACACTGTCAACTGGGGTCGCATAAACAATACTTTTTATATGTCCCCAAAAGAAAAAATCCATGGGCGTTAGATCGAGAGAATGTGCAGGTCAAGAGATAGGTGCCTCATTGCCGCGACCTATCCAACGATTCGGGTAATTTAAATTAAGCCACCGCCTAACTACTACAGTGCTGTGAGCAGAAGCCCCATCATGCACGTACCACATGGCCTGACGTACATTTAATGGTACTTCCTCCAGAAATGGTAGTAGATGCTCATTTAAGAACTGCAAATATTCAACAGCACCAAGTCGATGAGGTAAAACAAAAGGCCCGACAAGCACATTTCCTACAATTCCTGCCCAAATGTTTAAACTAAAATTATGTTGAAATGTTGTCATAGATACTTCGTGAGGATTTTCAGGAGCCTAGGAATGAAGATTGTGCATATTGGTTAAACCATGTCTTTGAAAAGTTGCTTCATCTGTGAAAAATATCTTTGAGGCAAAATTCAAATCATTTCTTAGAATATTAAGATATGATTCGTAAAAAACAACTTGCTTATGCATGTCTGGTTCAAGTAGAGCTTGAACGAACTGATGGTGAAAAGGATATAATAAATTATCATGGACAATATTCCAAACAACACTATGGGACACATTTAAGTGCATTGCTGTTTTTCTCGTACTAGTCTGACGATTTTCGTCAAACTCTTCAAGTACTGCATCCTCAAGATAAATAGTACGAACAGTAGGTCTTCGGCCGGTACCCTCAATATGCGGCTGTATTTTTCCAGTTTCCCGAAGTCTTCGTTC